CAGAATAACTTTTACATGTGTTGCCTGTTTCCCTGGTTTGTGGCAGCTGGTATTGGTTCTTGTCTGGATTTTGGTGTTTTATAAAGTGTTATTGCAGCTTGGCTATTTGGCAGCAGTTGCTGACTCTTTTCGTGTAATGTAGGAGGACAAAGAGTCCTCCAATAGCAGAAGGGAGTCTATGTGACAATCAAACAACACCAGTCAGGTAGAGACCAAAACCAAAAGCAAAAAAAAAAAAAAAAAAAAAAAAAAAGGAGAAAAATAAGAGAAAGAAAAGAAAAAAGAAGCAAAAGTGCTGGACCATCCTGTGATTCTGTTTAGCCTCAGAACTTCAGGAAAGCCGCTTTAGTCAGCTTTCTCCTGGGGCTGCTTTAACCTAAAGTACTGAGGAAATCAGAATTCCCAGAAGTAATTTTTAAAAAGTCATAAAACAGAAAATAAAAGTTATCTTTCTGTACGCAAAATTCAAATGGCATGTTGAATCACTTCTTCCTAGGGACAAGCAGCCGCCGCTCATGTGAGAATGCGCTCAGTTCATCCACTTCCGGCAGTTCACAGCTCCACAGTGACACGGGATCTTGTGCTGGTCATCCTCAAAGTCAAACTTGTAGTCATAGCAAAGCTGTGACAGCAAAGAATCAGTGAGAGAAAGAGGATTGGACAGGGAGGGCTTTCCTGCCTGGATTGCCCCACTTCAAAATCAGCAAAAAACAAGCAGAAGTCAAAGGGAGATCTGGTTTGTGGAGGTTCCATTGGGTCCCAGTTGTGGAAATGTCAAAACAAAATAAAAAACTAACATAGCTACCCTTCACTTGGGACTGCAAAGGGGCAGAGGAGATAGAGAGGCAATGTTCTTCAGTCAAACCAGATCTCTGCATTTCTCCAGCTTCTCCCGGAATTGTGCACAGGAAGGAGGAATCATGGGATACCCTGCTACAGGCAGGCGCATCCTCCTCCTTGGAATAATCCTCTGATTTGCTAAGCGGGGCAATTGCCTTTAGAAACTAACACCTGACTTCATCCTCCAACTTTCTTCACTTAAAAGAATTATTTAAAGGTTGTCTATACAGGGTCACTAAGGAGCTCTGGTAGTATAGTGGTTACGAATTGGGCTGCGAACCTCAAGGTCAGCAGTTCGAAATTACCAGCTGTTCTGCGGGAGAAAGATGAGGCTTTCTGCTCCCATAAAGATTTACAGCCTCAGAAACTCTGTACAGGGTCGCTATGAGTCGGAACCGACTCCACGGCACATAACCACAACCACAACAATACAGGGTCGCTATGGGTTGGAACCAACTCGAGGTACTTAACAACAACAATTGAAAGGTTAACAAATTAGTCACCATTCAGACTAGCCTTGTTCCCACAGTAAGTGAGAGTTGGTTAGATTTTCATGGCACATGTACTCACTGGCACCACAGGGCTCTCATATACTTTCTTTCACCTAATCTTTACACAAGTCTGATTATTTTCAGTGGCTCTATGTCTTATCAGACCCATATTCTTGATTTCATAAATGACATCCCTAAAAGATGACCAAATAAACACAAGTATGACCATAAACCTACATTCAAGGAAGGCTGGGAGCTTCCACAAAACAAAGACACTCAGGTTCCCCACATTTCAAAAACAAGGGTGTGTGTGAATGGTGTGCAATTTCCTAGGTAAACCAACACTGCTGCAGCACATGCATCACAATGAACTCCAATTCCAGATGAGGGCACTTAGATCAAGATGTGCCAATCACATTTGTGGAAGAGAAAGTTGAGAAATGTGATAGGACCAACAAGACCAGTAACAATCCTAACAGTAGAGATACTTGGCTAAAGTCATCTTCTGAAACGGAGGAGCCAAATGACAAGCCCAGAATTCAACATTAAAAACATACAAAATCAAATACCCAAACTCCTTGAAGTTTGTTGATGTGAAAGATAGGTAAGATTGTATTGACCACAGTGTGAATATGAGCCACCTGGGGCAATCTGGAAACCTAAAATTTGCTGCCCCATCTCAAGTCTGAGTGTTCTTGGAGACCTCATGACAACTCCATTATATTCTTCAAACATCAGTTTCACTGTATTTAGAGAGGGATAGTATCTAACTGTGTCCAGATTAAGGTGGTACAAAAGACCATAAGACATGAAATGATGTCATTTAATGAGTGATATGGGGATGCAAATTTGTGAAACAGAAAAATGGGGAAAGTGAAGATTAAACACTCAAACTTATCCTGCGGAAGAAGGTAAGTTGAATTCCTTATGGGCAGCATGACACAGTGGCAAAATTTGACCTAACATGAACAAATTTCTTCTGGCAATTGAAAAGGTGTGTGTGTGGGGGGGAATGAGCAAATCACCTTGTATGAATCAGTGATCTACCAGCTACCAGGTTATAAACAACCTAGCAAACACCAACCCTCTAACTCTTACCTCTTCTCCTTTCTGAATTCTCCGGTTGGAGCTGATGATAATTTTATGTCCTCTCTCAAAAGTCACCACTTCAGCCACACAATTGGGTGCACATGAATGGTTGATATATCTGCAAATCAGATATTGGAAAACGCTTACAGATCTAGAAAAATCTTTAAACATCTTCAATTCACATGGAGAACATTTTCATAATCACATTTCTATTTGCCAATTTAACACATAATTTTAAGTAAAAAACTTTCAAAACAACTCATTTGCCCTGGATTTTAATCACTGAAAGGCTACAGTGAGCATTTCTCTCCTGCTTCCATCTCTCTCCATTACCATAGAGCTTGCCAAGCAAAGCACTCAGTTGATCAGATTCCATCTTGTTCTCACCTTGCAGGCCCTCCTGTAAGTGTGGCATCAATAACATGGTCATTATCCATGCGAAACATGTACACGCCGCGGTTCTGGAAGAGAAAGCACTTTTTTCTACTTCTTATTTAAACAGTCATTAGCCTAGTTGAGGAACTACTTCTCCATGCTTACATTCACTTGAGGAGGAGTAAGTAAGAACTGAATGCATCCAGTGACACTCACTGTGGGTATAGTCTACTAAACCCCAGATGGAGGTGACCATGCCATGGCATGAGTATAAAGCAATGAATCACTGCTTGTTTGTGAAGACATACATATAAACCAATGTGAGGCAATCAGTTGCTGTTGTTAAGTGCCATCAAGTCGGTTCCGACTCACAGCGACCCTGTACAGATTTCCAAGGAGCGGCTGGTGAGTTTGAACTGCCGACCTTGTGGTCCAGTGTTTCATCCCACAGCGTGAAACCAGGACTCTGAACCAAACTGTAGTACGTACAAAAGGGAAATGGAAGTAAAATGCAACAACCAGTCCTTCTTATAGTAAATGTGTTTGGGATGAGAGCACCCACTGAAGAGCAGGCCGCACTGCTAAGCTATGCAAATAACAGCACAAGTTGAAAAAGAAAGATGAAAAGAGACAATAATAAAATACTAGAGTATACAGACATGGCTTGTTCAAATTTAGTTCTTTCCAGGATGTTTAGATGGCATAAGACAGAGAGGATGAATGTGGCATCTTACACAGAATCACACAGAGCAGGCACTTACCTGAGACTCATAAAGTTTCTCTTTTCTGTTTGCTACTTCATTTCTAATGATAGTCCCAATATATTCAATGACCATGGTGTGCTTCTCAATGTCTCTAGCAGCATAAAGGCCCAATCCCTGATGAAAAGAAGAAAAAAATAAGTACATATATATCCTCTTGTATAGCTTCAATTTTTTTTTTTTTTTTTAACTCAATTCACATAACTTCAATTTAACTGACAACAAAATCTGCTTTCTCTCCGTCATACAAATGTATTACCCTTTGGTGAAATCGTGGGTCTAATTACAGACAGACTTAAGATTTCACATGAACTCAAGTAATTTTTTGTATTGAATATGCTATATCCTCTGACATTTAAAAATGATACAATCTTCTCACTAACAGCTATGCCATCAGTATCTTTTTTTCAATGTCATTTTAAAGCTAGTCTCTTGTGGCAGATCTATCAGACTCTATGGCTATGGCATTCATAAACATGAGCAAAATACTGTGACTGGCGAGCTACATTTTTAACAGGCCATCCACCTTCCAGGTAATCCCATGCTGAGATCCCATTAATGATAAGGCTATGGGCCTCTGGTAATTATTTCATCTCACTACTAGTCACGGGCACACAGAGGCTCCTTATGATAAGCACTAGACTATGAACCACATAGGCCATGGTTTGAATTAAAGACAGCTGCTCTGTGGGATAAAGAGGAGACTTTCTGCTCCAGTGAAGAATAACCCTATACCGGTTTGCTAAGAGTTGGAACCAATAACAGTATTCAGCTAGTCCTGGTGTGGTGCCCTAGGATAAGCACTGCTGTACAGTAACCACAAGGTTGGCAGTTCAAATTCACTAGCTACTCCTTGGAATCATTGTACAGGGCTGCTAGGAGTTGGAATCAAATCAATAGCCTTAAAAAACAACAACAACTATTCAAAACTGTGACATAACAATAAATTCAACAAAATAGAAACATGGCTAGCTAAAATATTTATTAAAATTCTATATACAGGTTCAACATTTGGCTATGAGCAGAAGTCAGGGCAGAAAAAGGGGAGAAAACAGGCAAAGTATCATACTCTTGTTAAGTGCCATGAAGTCAGTTCCGACTCACAGTGATATTGTATTGGGTTTCTGAGGAGTGATTGGTGAGCCTGAACCATAGACCTTACTGGTCAAACTGACCTTGTACTCCAGTACATTAACTCTCAGTGCCATGCCCGGACTCATACTCTAGTTATCTGCAAAACTGGAAAGAAATGAAGTTCTTGGGGAAAACAATTTTTTCTCCTAAAACAATATCCCAAGGCTGCCAAAGTCATGTATAGGAATTTGAATGGACCATCTCTCTCATTTGGCAATGAGTACTAGCTTGTTGTTGTTAAGTGCTATTGAGTTGGTTCTGACCCATAGTGACCCTGTACAGTTTTCGAGAAGCGGCTGGCAAGCTTAAAATGCCGATCTTGCAGTTCAAATAGATTTTGCAGTTCAGCGCATTAACTCACAATACTATACTAGGCCTCCACTGTCTAGCTTATACATAAGTGAATCATGTGGTCTAGGCACTATTCTAAGCTTTATGTAACACAAGTTATGGAAAAGAGAGTTTCCTTGACACGGTGTTAGTATTTTCTTGTCCCAGTTTGTTTCTGTATTTTTAACTAAATTGACCAGAAGGCAGTAGTTGAGACAAGGATAAAAACCCACCACTTTTCTGTCAGTTTGTCATACAGTGGAGGCTTGTGTGTTGCTGTGAGGTTGGAAGCTATGCCACCAATACTTTAAATACTAGCAATGCATGGTGGACAGGTGTCAGTGGCGCTTCCAGGCTAAGACAGACTGGGAAGAAGGAGAGCTGGACTACTTGTGAATGTTTACCCACCTTATGAATAGCAGTGGAACACTGTCACAGATAAGATACTAGAAAATGAAAATATGAACATCAGAACATTATCAGATAAAACAGCAGAAGATGAATCCCTCAAGATGAAAGGCACTCAAAATACTACTGGGGAGGAGCTATCTCCTCAAAGTAGAGTTAACCACGATGATGAAAACACTGGCTTTTAAAAAAGAATGCTAATGGAGGAAGGCAGAATCTCCAGTGGGTACTATTCAATCTGTCTGGGCAGAGCGGATGAAAGGAAATACAGATGGGTAACTCGCGATCCTGTAGTGAAGAATGCTTATCAGGAAGGATTATGAGCGTTGGAAATGCAGAGGTAGACGTTTTGGAACAAGGAAGGGAGTACTTAATTCTACAGGCTAGGAGC